TTAAGACCGGTTCTACACAACAATCAATAGTATTGTATGTCAAAGTCGTATGTCGGAACGCAGCCGATGGTCTAATGAGAAAATTTCTCTTTCGAAAACGAATTTTCCTTATTGAACCATCGGGTTACGTTCAGACATCCGACTTTGAATACTATATACTGATTGTAGAACCGGCCCTAAAATAAAGATTGCACTTAAGACAGTCTTAGAAATAAGAACGGATTATGAATATTGGCCATAGATCAACATCTATGGAATTCCTCGTTACGCAATGCGAAAATACCCTTCATTCCCTTCTACGGAGACAAACTCGCGCAGATCTCCATCGAAAACGAAAAACAATCGAAAGCTCGCGCCTGTCTCTATGGAACCTGCCGTTCCCGCCGTTCGCGTTTCATAATTTCGAACGCGCGATCGCGGGGAGCGATAGGCCGGTCGCGACCGGACGCGACGTCGCCGCGGCGCGAAACTCGGTGGTTTTCGAACGCGGGAAGGTGGACCGGACGCGATCGCGCGAGATGACCGCGGCAACGCCGTCGGAAAAAGAAAGAGAAGGTCGACCGATCGGCGAGGGTGAAGGGTCACGAATACCGGGGGCGAATGCGCGGCTTCGATTCGAGGTGTCACGGCCACGTGTGTCACACGTCTGTCACGATTCCCGTGGCGGACGATCGGCGACGACGCCGCCGTCGTCGGCGGCGGTGCAGCGACGTCGAGAGCTGCGCGAAGCGGCACACGTGACCTGCGCGGCTATTCTTAGTCGCAGGAGGCGGCGAGCGCACGCTCGCTCGGCCATTCGTCGTCCGGCGCGCGTCCGAGACACTCAGGAACATCGGGAGTCTCTCTCCTCTCTCTCTCTCACACTCTTTCTCCTTTACGTTTTACCCGTGTCTCACCCGTACATACACACGCGCACCCACAACCAACCCGTTCACGATGTCTGGACTCGCGGATCCCGTGGCGTTCGCCAAGGATTTCATAGCCGGCGGCGTGGCCGCGGCCATCTCCAAGACCACCGTCGCGCCCATCGAGCGCGTCAAGTTATTGCTGCAGGTACAGCACATCTCCAAGCAGATCGCCGCGGATAAGCAATACAAGGGTAAGTGGAGCGTGGTTGTTCCCCCGAGTTCCCGAGCGCCCTCGGATCTTCCCCGGGACGCCGGGATCTCGAGAGGATCTCGCGCGCGGATGGCCGCCGGTGTCGCGGCAAAGGGAAACGGGGATCCTCGGTTCGCCGTTAAAGTGCACGGCGGAGCCCGCGGAACATGTGACAGTATAGCCAAAGTAGCCATCGAACGTGCCATTGTTCCTCGCGGGGTGCGCGAACGCGGCGCACCGTGCCGCCGCTTCGATCGCGGACCAGCCGCGTGCCGCGATCCGCGGGGAGGAGAGACAAAGAAAGAAAGAAAGATAGAAAAAAAGAGACATGGCCGTTATGTAATGCGTGGCCCGTCGGTGCCGCGCACCGACGTCGCGCGTGCCCCGCGCGCGGAAACGCGGCCACGCGAGCGTGCGTGCGCGCGCGCGCACGCACGCTGGCGCGCTCGCTCGTCGCTCGCGAACGACGAATTTCGCGCTGCGTTTATGTAACGAAGGTCGGCCCGCGAGTTTCGGCGCGACTTACATAACTCCGCGCGGCCGATCTCGCACGCGCGACGGAAAGGCCTTCTACGGCGGCGGCGGCGACTCCCGTTCGCCCCCCCCGTCCCCCCGCGCGCGCGCGACGAGATCGATATTTCGTTGGAACGGCGGCCACCCGTTTTTCCTCCCGAGCCAGATGGCAGCGCGTGGCTTCCTCTCCACGCTCTCTGCCCGAGACCCCGATCGATGACGATGCACGGTCCAACATGGCCGCCCTTTCGTCCGGCCACGAGACCGAATTCCTCTCTCTCTTTCTGCCTTCTCTATACTTCCACGCGTCACGAATTCCCCTCCGCCGCGTGCCCATTCAGCGCCTCCGCGCTGATTCATTGCCGTAGACGCGAAGACCGCGCTATCGGGGTCTCGATCTCCTTCCTCCCGTTCGTTCGGCGCTTCGGGAGAGGAAAAAAAAATGTCATTGCCCGCGCGACACTCCTGGAATTCGACGGTCGTCTCGTTCCGATTGTCGAGTCACGTTGCTCGCGACGATAACGGGAGATATCTCGCGGCTTATCGCCGCGAGACGGCTTCAAATTGTCACGCGCAACACCTGCATTGTCGGATCGCGAAGATCGATTAGACTGGAGGATAAAGTTTGTCAAAGGAATTGATAACTGTTAGATGTACGGCGATAGTATTAGATAAATGTACTACTAGCGAGACAATTTTCCACTTAAATTCATTCATTAACGCCACTCGACAGTCATATAGAACGTTCCAGAACGTTCCGAACGGCTATCGTCGTTTCTTTATTTTTATATTATGATTTGTGGATTATCTCAGGTTTTATCAGTAACAAGAATTTCACCGGATGTAATCTTTTATCAGTCTGAGACTTTTAATGTTAATTATATGTAGAAAATATATAAAATATGTTCTACGATTCTTTAGGCTGCGCTCGAATAGTCGCTGCCAGCACTGGCAGCCTTAGCTTTGTAACTAAACATCATAGGGCCGGTCTCACTAACGTCGATTAACTGTAACCTTCGATTGAATCACTCACTCTTCGTCTGTCCCACTTTCTAACTGTCCCCCTCATGTCCATTTCTATCAATGCAGGTTAATTTTAATCTCCATTTAACTTACCTGTCATTTTTTCCAGTTCTAAAAGTTAAAAAAAGATAGAAACCAAATTAAACCGAGATTAAAGTTAATCCACATTGGTAGAAATGGACATTAGAAAGAGACAAAGAGTGAGTTTAATCAAAGATTACAGTTAATCGACGTTATATGTTTTTAAAGTACGTAAAACATAGTTCTACAGTTCTTTAGTTTGGTATAGCTAAACATTTATGTGTCTCTATATTTCTAATTTGCTTATTGAAACGTTAATGTATGAAAAATTATTAAAATAAGATACAACAAGCATTGTTCGTGCCTTTGTGTTTTATTATACATTTGCATTCTGTATTACCTTTCAGGTATGATCGATTGTTTCGTTCGTATCCCACGCGAACAAGGATTCCTCAGTTACTGGCGCGGTAACTTCGCCAACGTTATCAGATACTTCCCAACGCAAGCCTTGAACTTCGCCTTCAAGGACAAGTACAAGCAGGTTTTCCTCGGTGGCGTTGACAAGAACACTCAGTTTATGCGTTATTTCCTTGGAAATCTCGCATCTGGTGGTGCTGCCGGAGCCACGTCTCTGTGCTTCGTCTACCCACTCGACTTTGCCAGAACCAGGTAAATTACAATAGTTTCCTTCATCCAC